AAAGATTGTCATAAACGTTTTTTTGTGTTTTTTTAAATTCCATTATAATTATTTATTTCCTAAAGAGAATACCAGTGTCTGTCTGATTGCTTCGCTATAAAAAAAATAAGATTTAAAAAAGAGTTATCGCTTTAAAATGTGGTAAACATTCCAAAGTTTTATAGATCTAAGAGAACTTAAGAAGATAACTATGCAAATATCTGAGACAAAATAGTTGACGTCTGTGCATTAGTGATAGCGGTAATTACTCATCATTTTTGGTGTCTGAGCCATATGCATACCGATTCAATTGTTCAGAAATCGAAACATACTTTGATCTAATTGGAAAATGAAGAAGAAAAGAGAAGAAGGTATCCACGTTCCTTAACAAAACGAGGGGGACAACAGAACAGAACGAAGGGGACAACAGAACAAAACGAGGGGGACAACAGAACAAAACGAGGGGGACAACAGAACAAAACGAGGGGGACAAAAGAACAAAACGAGGGGGACACAAGAACAGAAAAGCCTTTTAAAAACCCTCATATCTACTCGTAATACAAGAGGAATGTCAAGATTTGACAGGAAAACTGATTCCAGGTGGATAACCATTCTGTTATATGATAGTCCAGTACATCTATTCTTTGGACAAAGACGTGTAAATAAACAAAGAGGAAGGTGAACAAAGAGGGAGGTGAACAAAGAGGTGGGTAAACAAAGAGGGAGGTAAACAAAGAGATGGGTAAACAAAGAGGGAGGTAAACAAAGAGATGGGTAAACAAAGAGGGAGGTAAACAAAGAGGGAGGTGAACAAAGAGGTGGGTAAACAAAGAGGAAGGTGAACAAAGAGGGAGGTGAACAAAGAGGTGGGTAAACAAAGAGATGGGTAAACAAAGAGGAAGGTGAACAAAGAGGAAGGTGAACAAACAGCGTTGTTTTTCCTTGTCGCAGGAGGAACAAGCCCCAGAGGAAGTCTTCGAGGTACAAGCCCCAGAGGAAGTCCTCGAGGTACAAGCCCCAGAGGAAGTCCTCGAGGTACAGGTCCCAGAGGAAGTCCTCGAGGTACAAGCCCCAGAGGAAGTCCTCGAGGTACAGGTCCCAGAGGAAGTCCGCGAGGCGCCCGAGTTCATCCGCCCCATCGAGGACGTGAACGTTCGCGAGGGCGAGCCGGCGCGCTTCGAGTGCCAGGTCAAAGGTGAACCGGCGCCCACTGTGGTCTGGTTCCATGATCAACAGCCGATCAAGTCAGATGCTGTGTACCAGGTACGGAGTGGTGGGGATTAGTGGAGGGGGGGGGGAGTAGAGGGCTTGACCCCACCCCACCTCACCTCAACCCACCCCACTTCACCTCACCTCCATCTCACCCCACCCCGCCTCATCCCATCTCACCCCACCCCACCCCACCCCATCTCACCCCACCCTACTCTAACTCACCCCGCCTCACCCCACACCACCTCACCTCACCCCACCTCTCTCCCTACAAGGAAAAATTTTTTTAAAAATTTCTTGTAATTTATTTATGAAATAATTTGTCCAAATGGTTAAGAATGCTTTAGAATCTTCCGCCTCTAGTTGCAAGCAGTAAACACATGCACTTGCTCGTTTATCCAATCACAGTTGTCACTGCTTACAAGGATAGTAACCTAGCAGCCAATCAAAAATCTTTAGGGCTCTGCAATGGATGAGCCAATTCTCATGGTTCTTTCTTTACGAAACCTTTTTTATAAAAAGGTAAACGATTAGAAAAAAAGAAACTGGCGAAAATTGTAGTAGAGAGGGCTTGCTCTCTGCAAGTTCTGACAATGGGGAGAAAGTTCCTGACACACTTTCCCCACAGACACAGTGACCAGCACGCTCATTGGGTCCTGGTTTGGAATGTCGTGCTTTGTGCATCATCTACAAACACAAACACACAAACATATACACTCACACACACAAACACACACACAAACACACACACACACACACACACACACACACACACACACATGTCTAGGCTTTTCACTTAACCAAGGAAGTCTTACCTTTGAGCTCATCAACACATCCTCATCTCTGAGCCCCACAAATGTAATGACCCAATCCCTCCCTCCCTCACACAATGACTCGCATAGTGACCTACACAATGACCCACACAATGACTCGCATAATGACCTACACAATGACCCACACAATGACCCACATAATGACCCACTCTCCTCCCCACAGGTGGTGCCCGGTGACAATGGACAATTCACACTACTCATCTCTGAGGCTTTCCCCGAAGACTCCGGCGTCTACACTGCACGTGCCGTCAATGATGAGGCGGAGGTGGAGTGCTCTGCCACGCTCACTGTGGAAGGTACGGGGCGGGGGGTCCAGTCTTGTCTTATCTTCATTAGTGTGTATGTACGGGTCGGGGGTTCGAGCCGCGGGCCCGACGTTGTGTCCTTGGGAAAGGCACTTTACACGAATTTTCCCCACTTCACCCAGGTGGGAATGAAGGTACCCCGCTATAGACAGTGAAAGATCTTGTCAGTTTGTT